AACCACCAAGCATTCATCTCAATAGCATTGGCTTTCTAGATATGTGCTACTTAATGGCTCTAAACAATCTATACCTAACAACATGGCAGGAAAAGCTTCATTTGGAAACATATGGCCTTCTCTTTGCTCCTCAAAGAGAAGAGAAAAATAGAAAACACTTCAATCAACAGAGACCATGAAAAGATGTAATTTGAACAAGGGAGGATGACTAATTTGTATAAGCCCCTTGCAACTTCATACATCTGCCCTCACAGTTTTGCAAATATTTTCATCAGCACTCAACTATGCTTTTCACGTTTGTTACATGGCTATTTAACTAAAAATCTCACTTTTTGCATAATACCTCTATTACAAGAAATCATCACCTGCTTTCTACGAACAAATGAGCTACTTATATACATAATTTTGGCTATCACTGATTGATCTTAACTGTAATTAAGGGTTCATTTCTTGAATTTTGAGCAAGCAGTACCCCAGATTATCTGCCAGGAATAACAGAGATGCATCTAGCTTTACAATATCATAACTTTCTTGATAATTAGGAAGCAGGCGTCCAACTGGATATTAAAAGAAGCTTTGCAAAGGTCATTTGACAGCTAAATGTCTCACCATCATCTTGAGCATTTGTGAGTGTTCAAAATGCTTATCTTACATTAGCTCAATAATCTGTACAACATTTTTGTAAAGCCTGGGTGTCAGGCTTAGTTCTTTATTATTTTTATAAAATATTCATATTCTTCCCTATATTCTAGGCCTAGGGCGGAGTAAAGAATAAAACAATATAAAACAAGGCGATATTTTAAGAACTTAACATTATAAACAACATTAAAGCAAAGCAAAGCAAAGCACAGTGTGCTGCTTATATACCACCCCATAGTGCTTCAAGCACTCTCTGGGCGGTTTACAAGTTAATTATGCAGGCTACACATTGCCCCCCCCCCCAGCAAGCTGGGTACTCATTTTACCGACCTCTTGCAACAAGAATGATGCCTGCACAATCTTTTGAAGCAGGCAAGCCTCTAAGGGAAGTGCATTCCTTAAATAAGGTACTACGGCTGAGAAACCTGAAATTGAGAAACCATAGTTTATCTAAAGACATTGATTTAGATTATGGAGGAGGTAAATGTTGTATAGTCGGTAGAGTGCTGGGCTATGGTTGAGACAATCAAATGCATTTCTGGGATACTGGGCAAATAAGCACCTTCACTTTTCTTATCCAGATCTCTTCTTCTATGAAAACATTTAAAACCCTATGGCAGTATCATGTGTGCCTCGGTCCAGGCACTCTCCTCCTGTACCCTGCCCACCCTACATTATTTGCGCAATTCACTCTATTGGATTAGTGTTACCTGTATATTCGCAAAGGCTTTCACGGCC